AACCTCAAGCCAGAAGGCGACTTCACGGGTAAACCCAAAGATGATGTGCCGAGAGGGGAGAGGGCGCCAGTGGTGAAACACCCGGACCACCTCAAGATGGAAGGAGATTTCATTGATGGCAGGGACCGGCACTCGCCCGGCAAGGGGCAGCGCGCCCCCATCGTGAAGCACCCAGATCACCTGAAGATGGAGGGTGACTTCTACGATCGTCCCGATGGGGAGGCACCGAAGGGAGTGCGTGCGCCTGTCGTTAAACACCCGGATCATCTGAAGATGGAGGGCGACTTCACAGACGGCAGAGATCGGCACTCGCCCGGCAGGGGACAGCGTGCTCCGATCGTTAAGCATCCAGATCATTTGAAGATGGAGGGCGACTTCTATGACCGCCCGGACAAGAAAGCGCCGACGGGTGTACGTGCACCTGTTGTTAAGCACCCGGATCACCTGAAGATGGAAGGCGAATTCACTGACGGTCGCGATCGGCATTCTCCCGGCCGGGGACAGCGTGCCCCTATTGTACAGCACCCGGATCACTTGAAGATGGAGGGCGACTTCTACGATCGTCCCGACAAGAAAGCGCCGAAAGGTGTGCGAGCGCCTGTCGTCAAGCATCCGGACCATCTAAAGATGGAGGGCGAGTTCACAGACGGCAGGGATCGGCACTCGCCCGGCAGGGGACAGCGTGCTCCGATCGTACAGCACCCGGACCATCTCAAGATGGAGGGAGACTTCTCTGATCGTCCGGACAAGGAAGCTCCGAAGGGTGTGCGAGCACCAGTCGTCAAACATCCGGACCATCTGAAGATGGAGGGCGAGTTCACAGACGGCAGGGATCGGCACTCCCCCGGCAGGGGACAGCGTGCTCCGATCGTACAGCACCCGGACCATCTCAAGGTAGAGGGAAAGTTTACTGACACTCGTGATCGTACGACAGTGACGCACGGGGAAAGGGCCGATGTTGTTCGTAGAGAGGACAATCTTCGCATGGAGGGTCGGTTTGAGGACACCAGGGAACAGACCGTTGTAACTCGTGGCGAACGAGCCGAAATCGTACGCAGAGAAGACAATCTCCGCACAGACGGCAAGTTCCAGGACACTCGCCAACACTCTGCGGTTACACGGGGAGAGCGAGCAGACATCGTTCGTCGGGAGGACAATCTCCGCATGGAGGGCAAGTTCGAGGACACCCGTCAACGCTCTACGGTTACGCATGGCGAGCGAGCCGACATCGTTCGCCGGGAGGACAATCTCCGCATGGAGGGCAAGTTCGAGGACACTCGCCAACACTCTGCGGTTACACGGGGAGAGCGAGCCGACATCGTTCGTCGGGAGGACAATCTCCGCATGGACGGCAAGTTCGAGGACACTCGTCAACACTCTACGGTTACACATGGAGAGCGAGCCGACATCGTTCGCCGGGAGGACAATCTCCGCATGGAGGGCAAATTTGAGGACACCCGTCAACTCTCAACGGTTACCCGCGGGGAGCGAGCCGACATCGTTCGCCGAGAAGATACACTCCGCATGGAGGGCAAGTTCGAGGGCCGGCCGCGCGGAGAGGCGCCGGCTGGCGAGCGGGCGCCCGTGGTGCGCCATCCGGACCACCTGCGCATGGAAGGCAAGTTCGAGAGCGGCCGCGAGATGGTGACGGTGATGCGGGGCGAGCGGGCGGAGATCGTACGGCGCAGCGACAACCTGCGCATGGAGGGCGACTTCAGCGGCCGGCCGCAGCAGCAGGCGCCCGTCGGAGACCGCTTCCCCGTGAAGAAGCACTCGGACAACCTCCGGATGGACGGCAAGTTCACCGGTGAGTGAGTGAACGCACGGCGCCGGACGCGGCTGGTGTTGCTGATGTACATGTCGTTACTACTCTGGGTCAGGCAAATATTTGTCTTACGATGCAGCTTTGTTCCTTCCGATGCAGCTGCACCGACGTTGAAATTACCAGCACGTAAGATCATATATTCGTCGTCTGTTTTTTTTCTTCTTGCGATAGAGTGTTCCCTACGGTGCAAATTTACGGATGTTGGAGTTACCATCGCATAATGTGATATATTCGTTGTAACGTTCGGGATATGTGGCATGTCGCATCGCATATGTCGCATATGCACTTGGTCAGGTAGTTTACTTGGTCCTGTATGCGTGGTTTTCTACTGGCATCCCTGCGAAGTACGTAGTACGTCATGAATGCTTCTGTTGCGGTTTACGGCACCAGGCATCCATTTGCTTACTTCGACATGCGCTACAGTCAACTCCTACTGCGAACCATCGTTCCGCTTACGTCCCTCTACCTTCATGTTAATGCGTCCCTGCCGTATGCTGTGCGCGCTGCCATCATCGCTCAGACGGCTCGGCGCTGACGCCACCATCCCCGGTGTCCACAGATGGGCGGCAGCAGACGACCGTCGGTCAGGGCGCGGGCCTCCATAGTGAGACGCGAGGACAACCTGCGGCTGGAGGGCAAGTTCGAAGGTGGGCTCACGCGCTGGGCCCTGTCGGAGGGCTCGGGGCAGAGGGCTGCACTGCACCCATCCAGTCTGAGCCATGCGGCATGGGGCTGGGAGGGAGCCCTACAGCACAGCCTTCGAAGCACGTGTCTTCTGTCATCAGTCTGTTTATCCGCTTTCTGTCCTTAATCAGTTTGCTATCATCGTTCGACGTATTGGCTTTGCGTCATCATACAGTCTTACTAGTTTTTACAACACCGTTTTTGATAGCATTCTGCGTAACTAATTTCGCCGTGCATCAGTGGACAGGCGGCAAGTTAATAGCCTGTGCCGTGCTTGTTTCACTAACTCGTGTTCGCACTGTTATAACTAACAATGTCACACACTGCATGGGGGCTCTTTGTAGCATAGTGTGGTATGCGTCGTGAGAAGTTTAACAAGAGGCAGGATTTGCAAGCACATTTCGTTGGTTGGACTCGTCACCATGCTAAAGGGTAGTTAAGCATTTTTGGCATATGCTTCTACTAGAGCATACCAAGTCTGTCGAAATTAAAGTGCACAGGAGGCTTGTCTGGCATAATGTTACCAAGGGAGATAGCAACTTTTCAACTGTTTCAACTGTAGCAACTGTTGGTGTATAACTGCAGCGAGGATCGGGAATGTTTGTAAGCGTTTTGTAGTGGTTCAATACCAGGGATTGTGCAGATATATGATGGTGCCATTGGGCCATAACTGATCTTTGGTGCACCCACGCACGTAGGAAACATTTTCTGATGGGAAATATTGAATTGTCTCTAAAATGTTGCCAATTTCTACCACATTCCTCCGAATTATGCAGCAGTATGGCCTCCCTTGGGCCCTTCCTCTTGCTTGCGTCGCGCTGGGCACAACACATGAATTGGGGGGCAAAAAGAGCCGCTGCAATGATTACACAGCACCATGTGTCTCTAGGTGGTTTGACTTGGACGCTTGGCTTGACTGCACACACTTTTGATATAAACTTGGACGTTAGGAAGCATTTGCGGCGCTCACTGGCGCTGTCAGTAAGATATCACCCCGCCGTGCACCTGCAGTGATCCCGGAGGGGCGCTCGTTGTTCACCACATCACCTGTCCTCTGATCTGTGTGCACGCACCCCTACACACAGCCCAGCCCACACCCTCACTGCCTGTCGACTGTTTGTGCACACGTCTCGCTAATGACGGCGGGGTTACACAGACACGCAGCGACGCGCCACGCCGGCGGCCGGCGAGCGCGCGCTGCCGCGCCGGCCGGAGGATCAGCCGAGTCTTCAGAGTCAGTTCGCCGGCCGGCCGAGAGATGGCGCGCCCGGCGCCGAGCCGCGGCCGGCCGGGCGCCGCCGCTCCTGCTGTGTTGTAGTGGTGCGCTCCGGCCGGGCCCAAGTGATGCACCAGCCCTGCCTGCCTGCCCTTCGGAGACGGCGAGCCGCCGGCCGGCGCTGGCTCGCTCTGTCGCTGCTGGCCCGCCCGCCGACACCACGGCTACGCGCAGCTGTAGCGCCCCGCAGGCGCTGCGATCTCGACGATTTCGTTCCGTTCCGTTCCACCGCAGGTTTTGTTTCCTTACGTCAACTGTTTCTCGCGCTGCACCCGCCGGCTGCACCGTTTTGTTCATGCACCCGCGGCGACGATCGGCAGATTCCCGGCGGCAGACGACCGTGATGTCAGGCGAGCGAGCCGAGATCGTACGGCGCTCCGACAACCTGACGGTTGGCGGCGGCGACTTCAGCGCGCCGCGCGCGCCGGGCCGCGCCAGCCGCCGGCGAGCGCGCGCCAGTCGTCCGGCCCCAAGACAACCTGCGCTCCGAGGGACAGTTCTCCGGTCAGTGGACTGGCGCGGAGGTGATCTGCGGCCGCCGGAACAGACGCGTGCGGTCGTGACGACGAGTTGGCCGTCGGCGAGGCGCCTGAGTAGCGTTGGTTTCGCTTCGTTTGCGAGCTTTTGTTGCTTTTGCTTCGGCGCCACGAGGCGTCAGTTGAGCTTAGTGCCTGCCCTCTGTTCGTTCCGTTCTGCTTTATCTGTTTCGTTCCGCCCCATGTTTTCCTGTGTTCCGTCCTGTTTTGTTTGGTGGCCACGCGGCGCGGGCGCGGGCTTGACCGCGCCGGACGCCGCAGGACACGCGCCAGCGGACGGTCGTGAGCCGCGGAGAGCGCGCCGAGGTGCGCCGCCACCAGGACACGCTCAAGATGGAGGGCGAGTTTGTGGGCCGCAACTGAGCAGCGGCACTCCCAGCACACGGTGCAGCAGCGCGAGGTTCGCGCGGCCGGCTCCACCCGGAGGTACGGCCGACGCCGCTCGCCCGCACTGACGGCCGGCCGCGCCCGGCGCCCGGCCGTGACCGGCGCCCGGCCGCGACCGGCACTTGTGCGAGCGAGTCCGGATACGCGTCGCCGGGTGCTGTCTTCGGGTTTGTGTGGTTGCAAATTATTGCGATTGATCGGCTATCAAGTATCACTCGCACCTTGTTAAAGTGGCTGGGGTAGTGCTGATATTGCCAGTTTTGGAGTTGCATACGTGTGTGAGTGGAATGAAGTGTCCGAGCGTGCTAAAAAAGGTGAGTGCTGTGAGATTAGTGAAACCCGTTTAGATTAATTATCTGCGCAATTGTTAAAACGCAGTTTCCTTTGCAGCCGTTCCCACCAGCCAGAACGACTTCATGCCGTTTAAAACGGTGAACAAGCAAGTGGGCCAGTCGACACAGCAGACGTCTGCAGTTCAGCAGTCTACCAGCCAGCAGCAGACCGCCTCTAGCTCCACCACTGCCGTACGCTCGGAGCAGCAGTCGGCGTCCACCAGTCACATGGAGCAGCGAAAAATGTCGTCCGCCGTGTCGGAGCAGCGCAAGACGTCGTCCGCTGTGTCGGAGCAGCGTTCGACTGCCGCCCAGCAGTCGGAGCAGCGCAAGATGGCCAGTCAGACCGCGCAGCAGAAGATCTCCAGCCAGTCAGAGCAGCGTGCCATGTCGACCAGCGAACAACGCACCATGTCGGCCAGCGAGCAGCGCACCATGTCGGCCAGCGAGCAGCGCACCATGTCGGCCAGCGAGCAGCGCGCCAGCTCGGCCACACAGTCGCAGACGGTCACGAGCAGCGTGGGCCGCTCGGAGCCCGCGCGCCAGATCCGCGACTCGTCGGCGCACCGGCGCGCCACGCGCCAGAACACGTGGACCCGCGAGGACGGAGAAGCGCGCCAAGGCCGTGCGCCAGGCGGACAACCTCCAGCTGGAGGGCTCGCACAGCTTCGAGACGAGCTCGGGCCGGCGCGGCCAGCGCCGCCTGGCGCCCGAGAACCAGCCAGTGGCCGGGCAGCGCTCTGGTGGCGTCCTGGTGTCGCCGGTCACCCAGGAAACGAAGCGCTCCGTCAGTGACCAGAAGTTCGTCGGCTCGCTGCGCAAGGAGGAGGAGAACGTAAAGAAGTGGGCGGCCAACACGCAGCAGCGCAGTACCGTGAGTAGCGCCGCGAGCAGCGCCGTGCAGCAGCAGACCACCAGCAGCGCGACGCAGCAGCGCACCGAGTCGCGCACGGTGCAGCAGTCTGAGCGAGGTCGCTCCGTGCGCTCGTCCACCCAGTCCGGCGGCATCTTCCACGGCGACTACGACGTGTTCAAGGACAAGTCGATTAAGAAGAACCAGTCGTACGCCACGTACAAGCCGTGTCCGGCTTCCACGGTCGACTCACCACTCTCCGGCCTGCGCGTGGTGAAGCAGACGCATGACCACAAGTACTACATGCCGAAAGTGAGCGACTAGAACCGTGCCGGGCGTGGACACTTGACGCAGGGGGGGGGGGAGGAGGGAGAGGAGAGGGGGTGGCGGCCGGGCGCTCGGAGCGCGGCCGGCGCTGGCTCGCGGCCTCCCTTAGCTGCCGTCGCGCCGGCCGCGGCTCGACCTGCCCGGCTGGGCCGCGTTGGCAGACGAGCGTCGACGCTTACGTCACGCGCGGCGACGCTCGGACCACTTGTGATAAGAACGCCTTCAGCCCGTCCACGAACGAGGCCTTGCGACCGTGCGGGGCGCCGGCGCCCCGCACCAGCGGAGCGGGCTGACTGTGCGCGGCCGAGGACGCGCCACGAGGACAATCAAAGTGGGACTGTAGCATGTTTTCTAGGTGGTGATGCTAGCATTTGCGGTCGCACTGTGTTCTATTAACATCAACCCCGCTTGTGGTTACGGCAATCGGTATCCGTTGAACTAATGGCTATTTTTGCGAGGTGCAGCTGAAGGTGCTGTTGTATTTGTATTACTTACGTGCTGCAAAGGCGCTGCTGTATGTTCCTTTCGTTTATTTTCAAGGTGAAAATACGCTGCTTTCACATACGAAGTTTTTAATGGTATAATAATTATGCAATAAATGATTCTTAATACATTCCAGGCTTTGATTGTACAATTTTTGGTTGATATATCCAAGTATTTCTAGAATGGTGGGGTCAACCCTCGCCGTGGTCAGACCCGGATTCAGCGGCGATACGATGGAGGAACTATCGGGCTGATCCCGCACAACACATGTCAAATGACGGCGCGTTTCACCAGCAGAGCGAGAAGCGCCGACCTAGATAGACTGGGCAACCGCCCACCCGCCTGGCCTCGCCGGTCACGCCGCGCACGTCCGCGCCGCGCGGCAGGACGAAAACGGCACCCACGCCACTGCCGGAAGCCTCTCTCGTCGCCGGTTCAGCACCGCAGCCGACCGCACCACACATCACGGGGGCAAAGGATGCGTGCCGGGGCGAGAGAGTGCCGTGATAACATGCTAGACACGTGCGTCGAAGCTGGTGAAAGCCTGATCTGGCGGAGACCCCCACGCCGATAGCAGACGAGTAAGTCGCTTGCTCGGCCCATTCCTCCTCTGAGGTCTGGCACACTCGGCCTCAGACTTTATGTTTTGCAGCTTCCTCGTTGAGAAAAGTTTGTTTTACAAGTGCGGACTTTGCAAGCTATTTTCCACTCCA